GCAGATTGGATGTGGAGCGTGGAAGAGGGGAGAGTCAAGGATGATTGCCCAGTTCCTGGCCAAGGTGTCTGTCAGGACTGAAACAGGAAAAACAGGAAGGTCATTTCAGGAGGGACGAGGGTGAGCTTAGTGGAATTTAAAGAAATATTTTTTCTCGTGTATCCAAAATTCCTGATACCAAGAGACCATATTAAGTAAAGATGACAACTTTCTGGTCACCAGCCGGCCGGCCCGAGGGGAAATTGTCAAGAACCACTCTTAACAGGGAATGTGCTAGAGGATATATGAAATGGCAGCCGAGTCCCCTGTGACCTTTCTGCTTTGATCAGGTCACACCACATGAGAAGGAGGTTTGACTCAGTTTTTGTCAGCAGGACAGAAATGGCCCTGACTTCACTGCGTGAAAGTCAGCCAAGAAAACAGCCCCGGGCTGCTGCCTGCATCCTCCCAGTGTTTACTAGCAGGGGCCTGAATTCCACGCTGCCCCTAAACCCCAGCCACAGGGCTAGGCATCTTGAGGTACTCGTCTGAGGTGAAGACAGCCCACCAGCAGAGGCCAGCTGTGTTCGTAGTGACATTCTTGACAACACTGTCCGCTCCAGTCCTCAGAACAGAGGGGGAAGCTGGGGGGAAGTTCAGTATCCCCTACAAACATCTACCTAAAAGGAGGAATATGTGCTCTTCAAATTATTGGCCAATCTTAATGATAGCACACACAAAAATAGTAACTGGACTGTGTGTAATACTTTCGTATTTTCCAAAGTGCTGGTATAAGCTTTTATTTTATTTGAGCTTGAGCTCCATAATATTCTTTATTTATTTTTAGAGAGAGGGGAAGGGAGGGAGAAAGAGAAGGAGAGAAGCATTGATCAGCTGCCGCTCTCATGCCCCCAACCAGGGACCTGGTCTGAAACCCAGGCTTGTATGTGCCATGACTGGGAATCAAACCAGTGACCTTTCAGTTCACAGGCTGGCATCCAGTTCACTGAGCCATACCAGCCACAACAAGCTTCATAACATGCTAATGTAGTGATTAGAAGCCTGAATGCTGGAGCCAGAGGATCTGGGTTTAAGCCTGGCTCTGGCACTTTCTAGCCATATGAGCTTAGGCAAGTTAAATAACTGCACTTTCCTCATCAGTAAAACCAGGATAATAATAGTATCTATCTCATCAGGTTGTTGTGAATGGTAATTGAATAGTAACATACTTAAATAGTGCCTGGCACAGAGAAGGAGCTCAGTATTTAAACATTATTATTAGTTTTAGGTAGGTATTATTATCCCCTTGCGGTGGTAAGAAAGCTGAGACAAAAGGTCGAGCAACTTGCCTGATGGTGAGTTTTCGGTCAGAGCCTGCCTCCCGCCTCCCAGTCTGTGTTTGGCCTGGACCAGTGAGAGGGGACAGGTGGCAGCAAGGGTCTGTGAAAGTGTGCAGAGAAACAGCCCTCATAAATGGCATCTCACACAGATCAAGTTAAGTTTATCCCAGGTGAAAATTTAAGTGGATAAATGTCAATTTTGCAAATTAAATAGCTCCCAAGAAACTAGCAGGTTATAAAAAGAGAAAAGAAAGAAAAAGACCCACCCAATATCTCTCTTCTCTCTCCAGTGAATTCTGCAGGTAGAAGTCAGTAGCTGTTTTGGGAAGAGACCTGCCTGGCAAAGCAATGGCTGTTTAATACACCCAGCTTTCCCTTGCTGCCTTCAGCTACCCAGATCCCTTTCAACTGCATTTTAAAATCCTCATTTCCATATTTTAAAGTCTTGGTAAAATAAAAAATTTCAAAATACCATCCAAATAGGCAACATTTGGGCCAGAAGTGACTGAATTGACTGTTAAGTATACTTGTATTAGCACATATGGCCGAGCTGTTGATATATCACACTACATCCCAGCAAATAGCTTTCAGAAACTGAAATGCCACCAAATGCGTGCTGGTCCTTTTCACAGAAGCCTCCCTGGGTCACTCCTAGGCATTTTCATCCCCCTCTGGCCTTCCTACCATGAAGCCTGGAGGCCCATCCGCTGCTGTTCTGGCTGACGGCTACGGTTCTGCCCGGCATTGATGTCTTTGGAAACCGAAACTCAGGAAGGCCTGAGTGGGTTAGACGGCTGAGCCTGAGCACAGACGGCTGTTCAGCTGTGCCAACAACTTCTTTGGCCCTTCCTCGCCCACGGGACTGTGCCCTGAGCTTACTTGGTGGCTGCCCTTTCAGCACTGCTGACCTGTCACCATTAAAGCCAGAACTAGGACATTTCAAGGACATTATAAATTTAGTCAGGTTGGAAGAGCCTGAGAAAGTTGGGGAGCTGAGTTCAGCAGAAACTCAGAGAAAGTTCTTTCCTCACTTCACCACTCACCCCTACATGTGAAGATTTATTCCTACTGGTTTCTGCTCATTTGAAAATTAAAAAATCATCATACCATCCCCTAAAATAATAGTGACTGAGAGCCATAATGAGGATTTTTTTTAACAATATTAATTTAAAATTTTTCATGCTCACCCAAGGATTTTTTTTTTTTTCATTTTAGAGAGAAAAGAAGGGAGAGAGAGAGAAATACCGATATGAGAGAGAAATATCAGTTGCCTCCTGTATGCACCCTGACTGGGGATTGAACCCACAACCTTTTGATGCACAGGATGATGCTTTAACCAACTGAGCCACCCATTCAGGGCTTAATTAAATGATTAATAAAACTGTTTTGAGTTCCCTCCAGAAATGGCACACAATATTAGTTTCAAAAGTAGTCATAGGAATATGGAAAACACAAGGCTGTTGCCCTTCTTTCTACTGTTTAGTTTTTTAAAAGGCGTTTTTTAAACTATACTTCTCAAGCTGTGAGGTGGAAATGGATCGCCAAGCCTTGAATAAGCAGAAGGCCTTTTCCTTTGGTTGGAGCGCGAGGCACGTTGCTGCTCAGTTAACTGCCTCTTGGGATTTTGGTATTACCCAGTTTTCTATAGCAAAGTACCATCCAGTCACAGAGTGTCGAGCCTAGGAAATGCAAGCTAAGAGGTTAAAAGAAATCCTGGCCTGACTTCATGTTAGTGTCTCTCTCATCCATCTGAAAAACAGGAATGACATTGGACTTGCCTTAACCCTGTCTCGCAGGAATGTGGGGAGATGTGACAGCCAGCAGTGCTGCTTTTTCCCACTGCTTTCCATTCCAGTGTCCTTGCTGTTCTCAGCATAGGGCCTGATGTCACAGAGCAAGATCACCACGTCCTGCTGGGAGTTTTGCTGGAGGGACCTAGAAGGTTATTTTGCAGGCAAATAGCATAGCTGCGGGCTAGAATAATTTTTTGGAAAACAGTGAGCTCTCTAGGAAACTATAAGGAAAATTAAACAATCAACACCAAGCAATATTCACTCCTCCCTGCATTATTCTGGGCTCAGACTCTCCAGTTGAATAATATAACATATGTGTGTGTGTGTATAGTGGAGAGGTATATATCTCCACTACTGAAATTATCTTTTGCATTGACTTTGCCTTAACAAAAGAGCTTGAGGAAATCTAAGATTATACCCCATGATGAGAGGGTACAGCAGACAGAAATTTTTCATCATCCTTCTGCCTCTGGGATTAGGCAAGTTGAGAAGACAATAAGATGTCACCCAGAACTTGACTATTTCAAGAATATTAGATTGAAGTACATCTGACTGTCCATCTCCAAGATAGGCAGATTGCAGGGAAATAAATATTTCCCTTTATCATTGTGATTATTGTATTCTCTGGTGTTGATGTTGAAGAAGTAACACAAAAAGTCATCAGTACCCTTCAATTCTGTTAATCAAAACTATTTCTATTTTTTCCCCTTCCTTTAAAATGAAGATTTATTCTGGTAGAAATTGGAACCCTTTTGTACCACATTTGCAATTGAAACCATACAGCTTGGAATGCACACACACACGTGCGTGAGCTGGAACCTTTTTAATGATCAAGAAATAGGTTTTACCCACAAAAGATTATGTCCTTTTTTCATCTGGCCACTTTAGGCTAAGAGAAAAATGAAAGAATCAAAAGCCATAGAGTTTTAATTTCTCTTGCCTCAAGAAGTAGTAGATATTTCATATAAACAAAGTCACTCTTGAAACCACTAAGCTTTATTCCTTCAATTAAATATATTGGCTATTTGTGTAACTGTTTTATGTGTAGAAATTAAGGTGGCAAATTACATAGTTCTGGTAAATAGAAAGAGTGGAATGCAATGGAAAGAACAAGGAGCTGAATTCTGACAAAGGTCTCGTGTGAATATTTATAACGATTTTCCAAGGGTAGCCCCTAAAGTCAGGCTGGTTTGCGTTCAAGGCAGTCCCACTTAATGGTACACATGTCCTAGACCTCACTTCACCTCAGTGTGTCTTAGTTCCCTCACCTGTTGTATGTGGATAAAATAGTGTCTACTTCAAAATTTTTGGGAAGACTAAATGAGATAATCCAAGTACAGTTTCTCATATAGCGCATATAATTGCTCTACAAATGGTATCTGTGATTAATATCCAACCCAGCTCTGTGATCTTGGGTAAGTCCCATAATTCTTTGACTCTTGCCTTCACTATTTGTAAAAATGGTATTAACGAACGCTGCCTGCCTATGACATGGTATTGTTGTGAGGATCAAACGAGAGTGTGTCTTTAAAAAGAATTGAAATGGAAAAAAATATAATAAAGATTATATATTTTTTTAAAGTATTTAAGAAACCAGTTGGGGAGTTGGAGCTGTACACACCATAACACAACTGGGAAACAGTAGGAGGTAATTTATAATCAAGTGTTGGTCTGTGAGGACTGAATAGGTTCAGAGAAAGACAGCTGCAGATATTTTGGGAAAGGAAGGAGTATTGTGGCCTTAATGTAGGGGGGCAGTCCATGTAGAGTGGGGACTTTCAGCTGAGCGTTGAAGAAAAGACAGGATGTCGTGGGGAGAATTGAATCCTCCTTCCGGTGCCCACTCCCAGCTGACTAACCTCTGCTACGGTCTCCTCTGTGGTTACAGGCCGAGCTGATTGGAAGTCTCACCCACAAGCTGGAGACTCTCCAGGAAGCGAAGGGGAGTCTGCTAATGGACATCAAGCTCAATAACGCCTTGGGAGAAGAGGTGGAGGCTTTGATCAGTGAGCTCTGCAAGCCCAATGAGTTTGACAAGTACAAGATGTTCATCGGGGACTTGGACAAGGTGGTAAACCTGCTGCTCTCTCTCTCGGGGCGCCTGGCCCGCGTGGAGAATGTCCTTAGTGCCCTCGGTGAAGATGCCAGCAATGAAGAAAGGGTAGGTGGCCTAGCAATTCAATTCAATGGGATTTCCCTCTGAGCCCACAAGCACAGAGAAGTACAATTAGACATGATCCCTTCTCTTGAAAAGATTGCAATCTATTTGGGGCAGGGAGAGAGGCCAAAGTATAGATAACCAGGAAACAGAGAAGAAGGCACATTCCATGCCAAGAGATAATGCTGACACTGCAGGCTCAGGGAACACTTAGGAAAGTGAAAACACAGGTGCCAGAGTCCCTTTCCTTCCTTGCTTTTGGGGGTTGACCTTAAAAGAGAGGACAACAAAACTTTTGAGGATGAGGAGGGGGCACAGGAGCGTGAGCTCAAGTCCCAGAGAATCTACGGTTCACCTGGAGGGCCACAGGCATGCAGTCAGGATGCACCCAGGTGTCTGCACCACACCCCTTACTGGGAGGAAGGGGACAGGTAATAACAGTGGTGGTAATACTGGGTAAAACTCAAGTACTTCCTCTGTGTCAGGCGCTGTGGGCTCATACACTCCGTGTGCAGTCTCATGGAACCCTCACAGACCAGTAAGTGATAGAGCCAGGATATGAGGATTCCTGCCGCAGACCCCACATGTCATTCTCCTCACTGAACTTAATTCCATTGCTGCAGAGCATTCTTCATCTACTCATCTGTACAACACATATTCACTGCATGTCTAGTGTGTGCCACTTACTGGTCTGGGCACTTGGGATGGATCTGTGAACAAAGCAGGCAGAGCCCTGCTCCCATGGAACTAACTTATCAAGGAAGTCAGACAATAAATGTCACTAACACACGCACGCATGCACGCACACACCTGAAGGCAGTAGGTGCTCCAGCCATCAAGACACTCCTTTGCTTTCTGGCCCCTCCTGTCTACAGCGCACACACTTGCAAGCTCGCTTGCTCTCTCTCTCTTTCAGTGCTGTCAGGGATTCCCCAATTATTTCTCTTAATGCAGTGCATTGAAGAGAAAAATGTCTTTTTTTTCAAATAGATTTCTAAAGGATTAGAAAAAGTCCAGATGGTAAGCATTTCGGAATATGACTGTGTATCCAGAAACTTTCTGTAGCCCTATGCCTAGCGAGCGCCCTCCTCATACAAATGCGCTGAGCTTTGGCTTCCTCTTCTAGACACTGTCTAATAGTTCCTGCCCCAAAAGGGTTGTTTTTTCCTCCTCCTTCCACTCAGCAAACAAGGAATGAGAACCTGTAACACAGCAGGTGCTGTGTGGGCTAGGGATGAATACCGGCTAAAACACAGGCCCTGCCTTCCAGGAACTCGCCAGGTAAAACCAGTAAGGAAGCAGCGAATGTATCCAACGTGCTACAGCACAGCAATAAAGTCAGAGCTGAGCAACACTTCTCAGGGCGTGGAGTGGGGTGAGGCCAGGAAAGACTTCATGCAAGTGGTGCTTAATAGAGTCTAGAAGAATTTAATAATTGTAGGTGGACTAAGAGTGGAAGGGCTTCACAAATTAGAAGAAGTATCATGGACAAAGAACATGCCATTTTCAAAAAGCTGATTTTCTTGTGGTTGGCGTGTCTAGAACATAGAATGATTACTTGGTTTGTTTTTAAAAATAGTGAATTATAGACAGTATTAGAAAAGTTTGTGGTCAGGGATTGGGCAGGAAGTAGATCCCTGATTTTTTTGACTTGATAGCTCAATCAAAGGGGGTATTCAGAACACCAAGAAAAGCCAACCAGAAGACTTGAATAGGCATTTCTCCAAAGAGGACAGACAGATGGCCAAGAGGCTTATGAAAAAGATGCTTAACATCATTAGTCATCAGAGAGATGCAAATTAAAACCACAATGAGATTATCACCTCACACCTGTCAGAATGGCTATCATCACTAAATCAGCAAACAACAAGTGTTGGCAAGGATGTGGAGAAAAGGGAACTCTTGCACACTGTTGTAGGATTATACATTGGTGCAGCTGCTATGGAAAACAATGCAGGGATTCCTCAAAAAATTAAAAATAGAACTACCATATGACTCAGCCATTCCACTTCTGGGTATTTGTCCAGAAAAATCCGAAACACAATTCAAAAGATATATTTATCTCTATTTTCATTTCTGCATTACTTACAATAGCCAAGATACGGGAGCCACGTTAAGTGTCCATCAATAGAAGATTGGCTGAAGCAGTTGTGGTACATATATACAACAGGATATTACTCGGCCATTAAAAGGAATGAAGTCTTACCATCTGTGACAACATGGATGGACCTAGAGAGTATTATGCGAAGTGAAATAATCAGACGAAGAAAGACAAATACCATATGATTTCACTTATATGTGGAACCTAATGAACAAAGTATCAAAAAAGAGGTATCATTGAAGGTATGGGAAAGATTGAGGGCAGCCAAGAAGGGATAATGAAGCCCCCCACCCCCAGAGCCATTACCACCTCTAGACCTGGAGGGGCAACAGGAAGGGTCCCCGTCAGAACTGCAGCTGTGCCTGTCCCACAGCCCTGAGGCCTTGGAGAAGGAGTGCAGCCGCCCCCACCAGCTAGCAAGGACAGCCCGGGATAAATGCCCTGGTTTCCTTTTTCTCCCACCCTCCAGTCTCCTGCCCATGGCTGCCACTGGCCAAACCCAGAGGGCACGGGAACACAGCTGGTGCAGGCCTCGAGCCCAGCTTTCCTAGGCAAGAGCAGTGCTGAGGAGAGTGAACCCAGATGGGTACACAGTATCCAGTGCAGAAAAGAGTGACATGGACCTTGTGTGTCATGCTCCAGACTTTGAACTTTGTAGCCAATTGTCCAGGAAGGGCCATAAGCTAATTTCATGACTTAATCAGCCTGGCAGGGATGAGAATGATGCTTACAGTTGGGAGACTTATTATAATAGCCTAGCACAAAAGCTTCAGGCTGTTAATTTGGGCAGTTGTCATGGGGACAAAGAATAGAGAATGAATTTGAATTAGCAGGTGTGTTGCAAGAGAGGAAGGGTAGAGCAGAAGATAATTCTGAATTTGGCCACTTGGGTGGAAGCTGCAGATACCCGAGGAAGGAATACTGGAGTAGTTTTCAGTTAGGGGAAGGTTTTTCACAATTGAATTCAACTCAACACAATGCATGCATACACTCTCAAATACAAATCAGTGCTTGCTCACCTCCAAAATACAGTATCCGTCCTAGTTTTTGTAATGATAGTCTTTGTTAAGAAACTGAAAGTACCAATAGGAATGAGAGAAGGAAGATTATGTGGTTCAATAAATGCCAAATTCAGGATAATAGTTACCAAAGAGAGGAGGGAGGGAAGGGGAAGATGGGGACTGAGATAAGTGTATGTAAGGCTGCAGCTGAATCTAGATTTTTATTTTTAATCTCAAGCAAATATGAAAAATGTTCATGTTGAGATACACAGCTATAATGTCACTAGAGATTTCTGGTATTTACAATATTCCATTTTTTTCATTTTTATTATTGAATTTATTGGGATGGCATTGGTTAATAAAATAATAGGTTTTAGATATATGATCCTATAATACAACATCTGATCATTGTATTGTGTGTTTACAGCCCCAAGTCAAGTCTCTTTCCATCACCATGCAATTTTTTTAAAGGTGAGAAAGAGGTTCTCACTTTTTAACTTATATCTTTACAGTATTTTGAAAAGTTTCTTTATTCAAAATCAGAGTTGTTGGTTTTTTTTAGGTGTGCTTTTCTGATGGGGGGAGACTATGAAAATGGAGATATTTGTAAGACAAATCTATAACTGCACTTTTTCCCCTAGACATTATTATGTTAAGGTAGGTTAATTCAAGGAAAGTTAGGCCAAAGACCTATGAGCCTTTCATAACCTTACATAAGCTAATTTGTATTGAGGTATATATTTAAATCTAGTTCTTGATTTTCATTTTTATGTTTCTCAATCACTTTGGCCTGAAAAGTATGAATGATTAAATATAAAATTTTTTAAATTTTTGAAATGACATTCATTATATGTCAGCATATTGGTGGGGAAGGAGGGGGAACACCACACTTTAAAAATTTTTATAAAGCATATTTTCCCTAAAGAGAACATGCTACCTTACCATTGGGTTTGTATAAGAGACTCTCAGAATATGAAATTGCCATTATTATTAAATAGAATTTATACCATGTTAGATTCGGAAAAGTAAAAGAGATCTGGCAAATGGAATTTTGGGATTCCATTTCTGGATTTCCTTAGAGATGGTAAATAGGAAGTTCCCATCATTGACTGTGGGTCAGGACAGAGGATCTCCAGCTTGAGCGGCAGAAGAGTCACCTAGGAAGCCTGCTAACCCTCAGGTTTCTGGGCCCCTCCCCCAGAGCTTTTGATTCAGTAGGTGAAGTAAGGCCTGAACATTTGCATTTCTGACAAATTCCCAAGTTAGCTGCTACTGGTTAAGACCTAGAAAACCACTATAAATATAAACACTTGATGATTAGCTTTTTTCCCTCTTTAAGTTTTCTATTGTTGTAAACTCTATATAACAAAATTTGCTATCGTTCTGTTACAGTACCTACTTCAGTAGTATTTAATTCATATTATTGTGCATCCATTTCCAGAACTCTTTCATCCTGCAAAACTGAAATTTTATACTCATTAAACAATCAGTCCCCACTTCTGCACCCTCTAACCCCTGGCTACCACCCTTCTACTTTCTGTCTCCATGATTTTGACTAGTTTAAGATCCTCATATAAGAGGAATCATTAATTGTGCTTTTAATGTAGAATCCTAAAGTCAAGTCACTACCCCAGCCAATTCAAGGTAAGTAAGCGCTCTCAAGAAAGTTGCCACATGCCTTTCCAAGTTAGAGAACCATACGTATGTAATGGAAAGGTAATAAACTGGTTTTCAAAAACATTCATTCTCCTTAATTTACAGTGACAATTGAAATAAGAACGTGGCTATTTTGCAGCCCTGTGAAAGGGAGTAGCTTTGCAGGCAGTTTGGCTGTTTCCTTCCACCCCCTTGCCTGCCGCTCATCTGCCTGTTTTGCCCCGGCAGAGCTCGCTCAACGAGAAGAGGAAGGTCCTGGCGGGGCAGCATGAGGACGCCCGGGAGCTCAAGGAGAACCTGGACCGAAGGGAACGCGTGGTCTTGGACATCCTGGCCAATTACCTTTCAGAGGAACAACTCCAGGATTACCAGCATTTTGTGAAAATGAAGTCAACTCTCCTCATTGAGCAGCGAAAGCTGGACGACAAGATCAAACTGGGCCAGGAGCAAGTCAAGTGCCTGCTGGAGAGTCTCCCCTCGGATTTCGTTCCCAAGGCCGGGGCCCTGGCCCTGCCCGCGGACCTCACCGGGGAGATGACTCCTGCCGGCGGATGCCCTCTCAGTGCTGTCCTCCCCGCGTTAGCCTCTCCGCTCTAACCTCTTCTCAGACACCTGACCAAAACATCGCCCTTTCAACACTATTTAATCTGAAAAATGTTTCAACACAAACCACTGTTTAAACTCTATGGGTTTTAGGGGGTTTTCTGGATAAAAGGAAAAGATTCTATCCAGGAAAAAACCTGGTTTTTTTCTCCTCACCCTTCATGATAGATCGAGAGCTTGAATGCTGCTGGGAACTTATCCCTTTCTATTACTACTTTGTAATAGAAAATTAATGAAACTGAGAGAACTGACTGGAGGGTGTTTGATTAGTTTCCAACAGGCTGAGTCAACAGAGATCAGTGTGTGTCCCCTCAGGAATGTATCCACAGTGGCCTTCCTACTGTGAGCAGTGTATCCTGACAATAGGTACAAGTACTATTAATGAAGGGTCTGCAACATAAAGCCTTAAAGAGACACACACACAGAAGAAAACTAAAACCCTGAACATTGCTATTATTTATATTTTTAAAAATGAACAGGATCATTATGTTTGTGTGCTAACCACTCATTTGATTCTATTTTGTGGGGGACGTAGACAATTATGTTTGAGCTTTGTATTGTGAAAAACCTTAATGAAATGAATTCCAAAGACAGTCATATTGAGTGTGGAGATTTGTTCTTAAACTCTTGACTTGTCTGCCTTATTTTTATCAATACAAGCAGCCCTCCCACACGTGTGTTAGACCGAGTCCCAGGGAACCTGCTCCCACCGCCGCCGGCCCTCACCACTCCACTCCTGCCTGCAGGACCGCACGCACCTCCAGGGAGAGGGCAACAAGGCTACCGCCTCCCTTCCTAGGCCTTCCTGTCGTCACTGTGCTGGGCAGAGAAAGCTGTATTTTGCTAACAAGGACAGCAACTCCCCAGCCTAAATGACAAGAGGCAGGTCAGAAATCAAGACAATTCAAAACTGAATTCACATTGTCCTGCGCGGGATCTGGGCCAAGTACAGCCCATTTAGTGAGGTGGAGTATCAGGTTGTTTTTAATGATGCTGTTTTTTAAAAAATTTGTTTTAAATGTCAACCCTGTCAATCACCATGAACAACTCCCTCAGCATCTGAAGGCTGATGTTGCACTATCATGCTTCAGTAACTTCTCAGAGGATACTCAAGAGCCCAAGTTATACATCTATTAAAACAGACTGGAACCATGAGAGGAGGGGAGGGCCGGAGGCAGGCTCTGTCGACAGCTGCTGAAGATGGCAGCAGCCTCCTACTTTGAGCAGATGATGCATCCTAGGCTGTGCTCTAGGGGTTTTTTGGTGGTTTTCACATGTGCTTGAACCGTGGCTGGTGGCTACCTCTGCTCATTTGGGCTGCAGGGACTACAGCAGCCAGTCCTAGAGGGTAAAATTTGTATGAGAGTAAAATTTTCCTTAGTATATTTAATTACTGAATGAAATTTATCTTCTGGTTTAAATTTTCAAAACTGTAATTTTGGTTCCAAATATAGATGTCTTTTAATGAACTTAGAGCCAGTAGGCTACCCAGAAGTTTCTTACAAGCAATCAACCAAAGCCTTTGCTTTGCTCTTTGGAGGCCATACACTGCCTGACTCCACTCATCCAGTAAGACAGCACCTTGATTTTCCAGGAATGTTTTCTAAAGCTTCTCCTATAATCAGAGGTCCCATTTCCCAGGGAATCAGGGGAACCAGCGACCGCATTCAACAGACACTCTGTATGGTCCTTTTGAAGTGGAGAAAGTCCATCCAACTGACATTTCTTTAGACTTAGGCCAACAGAGGAGCCTGAAATCAACTCTCCTTGATAATTACTATCTTGCTGATACTGAGTGGCTCTGCGTCAGTCAGACCAGGTTGAAGCCAGCCAGTTAATGTCTCCGGCCGTCCTTAGTACAACTGCTCAGAGGGATCTAGGGCTCCTAATTCCCAACACTCTTCAAAATTACTCCTCTCAAGGATTATCTTTTTCAATCACTTCTATTTTATACATGTCACACTTGTGACCCCTGTAGTAGTGTGGCAGGTGACGCTGCGTGGTATCCCACAAGCACCGGGAAGTAGGGCCCTACTGGGGTGGCTCTCCTTTAGCTACACTGAGATGTTCTGTTGTTACATAAAATGAGTAAGGTACCAAGAGCAACTTTGAAATTAAATTTTAAGGTTTTATTTATTTTTAGAGAGAGGGGGAGGAAGGGAGAGAAACATCTATCAGTTGCCTCTCATATTCCCCCCCGCCCCGCCCCCACTTCTGGGGATCGAACCTGCAACTCAGGCATGTGCCTTGACCAGAAATAGAACCAGCAACCTTTTGCTTTGTGGGATGACACCAACCAACAGAGCCACACCTGTCAAGGCAAAATCCAATTCTTAGGTGGATATGATATTTACTGTAACAGTACTTTATCTCTGTGCTCTGATGAGAAGAAAACACAAACCTAATTTTCATTAACTTTTAAATGCCTTCAACTAGAAAATAAGCCTATTCTTTTTTCTTTTTTAGAGAGAGGGAGGGAAAGAGATAACAATTTTTTGTTCCATTTATTTATGCATGCATTTGTTGATTCTTGTATGTTCCCAGACTGGGGGTCGAACCTGCAACTTTAGAGTATTGGGATGATGCTCTAATCAACTGAGCTATCAACCAGGGCAAAATAAGCCTATTTTTTTCCAATATGTTTATAGATTTTAGAGAGGAAGGAGGGGGGAGAGAGAGAGAAACACTGATCGGTTGCCTCTAATATACACCCCAGCTGGGTATTAAACCTGAAATAGGCATGTGCTCTGACCAGGAATTGAACCCCCAACCTTTTGGTGTATGGGACAATACTCCATACACCAAACCAAGCCACACCAGCCAGGGCAAAATAAGCCTATTCTTTATATCTTTACTATTCTGTATTTTTTTCCCCACTATTAAAAGTTATCTACAGTGGAAGCCATCCTTTTTCCTCCCAACAATATCCTCTCAACTGAGAGAGATCATGAGCAGAGCAACCATGAGCAAGTAATTGGTCAAAATTTCAGGACACACATGAAATCAGGAATGTTTGTTCACAGTCAATAACAGTCCCTGTGAATGTGGTCATTTCAGAAATACCATGTCCCATCAGAAGTCAGGACAAGTCAGAAGCAATAATCCAAATATGGAGACTAAGAAACGTGAAGTCCCAAGAAAGGACAACATCCAATGACAAAATTGGGAGGTGTCCTACCTCCTGGGCCACTCGGGAAGTTCCTGGGCATGTTGCTACATGTTGGTTGACTCAGTCTTTTTCTCCGACTGTTTTTTGTTCCTTGTGGCAGCTTAACTCCAAAGAATGCAGGGAGGATCCAAAGCGTGAGTTCCTCCAAGAGACACTGTCGAAACCAAACATTTTTTTCCTTTGCTCCAGGGGAATATTTTAGGTTTCATTTTGCACAACTGGTTTTCACTTGAAGATTAGCCAGTTTGCGTTGCCCCCTAAGAACCAGTGGCTTTCTGTTGACATTAGGAGTGAGGCCTTCTTAACTGAGGGCCTTTGGGGCGTAAACCAGGAGAAACCAGCCTGGGACGTCCCATTTTCCATAGTATTCCATTATTAATATCGGAGCTAAAATCACTTCTGATTTTAAAAGTTAGATCACAGTTGTTCCTAATACAAGCTCTACCTTGAAGTTTGTATTTTATTCGAACATTTTTTGTTAAGTTATTGAGGGTTTTTCTTTTTCCTGGATACCAAGGAAAGTATTGGCTTTTTATTCTATATGGTTCCAAATTTATTTTTCTTTAGATTAATGTTCCATAATGTTACTGGCTTTATTTTGTTAGGTTGGGACTTATTTTTTTCTTTTTTAGAACAGCATGAGTTTTATTCACCTTAGTATGGGCAAGAAAAAAATAGAAACTTCAGCCAGAAATAACTTTTCCATCTCTGGCACATGTATAAATAAATGTATGAAGAGGTCAGGAGGACGTGATGGGCCATTTTATATAGAAACAGTTTATTGGAGACAAGGTACTCGTTGCTGCCTTAACTCTGAGATAAAGCATGGAATAAAATTATAAAGACCATTTTAATATGAGAAAGAGATATATGAAGTCTTCTTATTTATTACTCCTAAATAAACCTCACTTTTATGGGAGCTCATTCAGACAATAAAGTGTGGTTTCTCTAAGTGCGAGCAAGAAGACACTCTGGCCCTGACTGGTGTGGCTCAGTGGGTTGGGCGTCATCCCACAAAACGAAAAGTCGCCAGTTTGATTCCCAGTCAGGGCACATGCCTGGATCATGGGCCAGGTCCCTGGCTTGGGGGCGTGTGAGAGGCAGCCAATACATGTTTCTCTCCCTCTTTCTCCCTCCTTTCTCCACTCTCTAAAAATAAATAAATTAAATCTGTTTTTAAAAAAAGATTCTCTGTCAGAATCACAGAATGCTTGTTAAAATGCCAGTTGCTTGGACACAAGCAAGTAGGCTGAGAACCTGCCTCTTAACATTTGAGAGCCACTGACACCAAACATTCATGCAGTTTTTATTGTCAGGATCACATCGAGACTAGCATGAATTTATGGAATAATAACCCCAGAAATCAAAGCCCTGTTGTGTTTACTCTCATTAGCTACATCACTATGAGTTAACACTGTCCCCACTACTTTTATATAATCCCCAAGGTTATGATACGGGGGGGGGGGGGGTTCCCCCTCTCTCCTAGATTTGTTTTAAATTTAAATAAGCTAAGCATTTATTCAAGTTCACCTACACCTACTCTAATTATTTTTCCTCAAAAGGAATCAACACGATGTCAGCAATTTGAAGTTCTGCCGTGATATTTGCACTAACCTGAAATCGCAACTGACTTTTCTTCAGTGGGGACCCCACTCAGGTTTTCGTTGTTTCATCACAAGCCTCATGCTACATACAAGTTAGGATTTCTCTCGGCCTGGATCTGACAGGCTAGCTAATGGAACAAAAAAGTCTTTATTTCCCTCTAGGAGTGAAAGGAGCTATCACCCAATTGCAAACACTAAAATCAAAATTAGACAAGGAAAAAGTTGCAAAGAAAGAAACTGGCTCATTTATTCCTATTTTATTCTATAAATTCTCTCTAATCATCTGTAAGTGGAAAAGCAGCTGTGTTTCTTGCTAAAACATCAATTTTGCCATTGCTTTTCACAGAGGGTTGAACAGGAGAAGTTTAATATATATAAAAAATGATTAGGTTCTCCGAAATGAGCGACTACGGGATATAAGGAATTCACTATGATACCCTGGAGTCCAAGGAGAATACACTAGGAGAGACCAACTTGGAAAGGGGCCCCTCCCCACAGCTGGGGTTCAGACCTTGTCAGAGAACTCAGCCCACTGACCGCAGAGAAGTCCAGTGGTGTGTGGAGCCCAGAGCTGGTCGGCAGTCCCTGGGCATGCAGGAGGCAACCCCCAGAGTGGAAGCAGTGCACTCGCTCAGCATCCATGGCATGGGCCTGCCCCGGTAGCGGGGGCCCGAGGAGCGGCTGGCTGCTCAGTGGAAACCTGGGAGAAACCCTGGGAGGGGACCTGCATGGGGGAGCAGGTGTTGGCAGAATGCCTTTGGGGCGCTGATGC